AGAAGGTAAAGCAACCCAACATTGAAACTTGCCTTTGCTTCCCTTCCTTACCTGTTTGTAAGTTACAAATCTGGTATTTACTACAGCAGATAAGACGTCTGTTTCCAGTATTTGGGTACAGACAATAGTGATTGTATTCAATCTACATTTAGAAAACACATTTTGCACATAGGCTTTCACTACCAGCCAAATAAAGGACTATGAAGGATTTACTGTCTACTTTCAAAGAAATTACTTTTAACAAAAACTTTTAACTTTTTGTGGTTTGGATCAGTGGTTCTTTTCCCATAACAAAACACATGATATCATTAAAAAACTAAAACAAACAAAAAAAACAAACTTCAAATATAACAGAAAGGCATAAAAATAAAGAAGTAAAACTGCCTCCCATCCCAATCCCATTCTCTAGAAATACTCATTTTTTGGTTTATCCTTTGAGACATTTTTCTATGCCATGTAAACATCTTATTCTTAATATGCAACTTGTACCATCCTATATAGACAATTCTATAACTTTCTTTTTGGTTTATACTTCTGGGTATACTTGTATGTGCCATGTTATATGTATCTGATAACAGTCCACTGTATGGTCATATAATAATTGATTTAACCAGCCCCTGATTGATAGACAGGTTATCTCCAAGCCTCTGTTATTATGACAACATTGGGTGGAATATGAATTGGAGGAGTAGATGGGGCAGGGGCACTGAGACCAGTTATGATTTAGGTGACAGCAATGATTCAGGTGGGAGGTAACAGTCCAATTTAGGGCACAGGCTATGTTTGCATGAGCAGATTCCAAGGACATTTAGAAGGACTCAGTGACCAAATGCATGTAGTGGGTGAGCAAGAGGGAGGCATAAAGCTGTCTCTTGGTTTCTGGCTTGAGCAAAAGGGTGGTAGAGGAGAGTGCAGAAAAGAGAGAGAGATGGTCAATTTGAAAGAGAAGGTAATGAATTTGGTTCTGCATACTGGGTTAGAATTTTTGGGTGGAGATGCTCACTGAGCAATTGGATACATGAGAGGCTGGGGCCTTTATGGAGTGGTATTTATAATCATAGAACTGAATGAGCTCACTCAGATAGATCATGAAGCTAGGAAAAAAATGGGCTGAGGGAAGAAACCTGGGGAGCTCTAGCATCTATAGATGGGCAGAGAGAGGTGATTCGGGGTGCACAGGATGCTGAGTGGTAAGGAGGGGAGTAGGGAGAATGGGTATCTTGGAGTGGGTGATAGTGCTGCAAGCTGTAGACAAGTTAAATAACATAAGTACTGAAAAGTGGTCATTGGGTTAATCAATTTCAAGGACATCACCGGCTTGTGCCAGAGATGGGTCAGCAAAGCGGTGGCTACTTTGCCATGCCGGTGTTGGTTGAGAATGGATGGAGAGAAAATGATTGTAAATTGTTTTTCAAGAGTGTGTCCATCAAGGGGAGGATGGGCATACGAAAATAGATGCAGGGGAGACCAGGATTACATTTGGCCTTTTTTGTTTTAGTTTTTGGGTGGCTGTGCTATAAGCATGTCCATAAGCTAAGGGAAGGGTTTGGTCCTGAGTGATGATTGGTCCTGAGTGGCCTTTGTGCAAGAAGCTGATGAAAGAAAGAACTAGGACCCCGGCTTGCTTTAGAGATGCTTGCAGAGTAGGGCAGAGCAGGCGGCTCTGTGAGGGCCTGGCCAGAGCTTCCTACAGTCTTCCTGATCCCACAGCATACGGAAGGACAACTCAGAACAGTGAGGAAGGAAAAGGTCACCTGTCTGGACTCCCAGATCTGTGCAGTCCAGGGTGATCTGTAGAGTGACAGACGGGGCCACCAGCTCCTCCTGATTTCTGTAGCTTCCTCAGTCAGCCAGCTAGAGCTGGGTAGATTTTAGTAGGGGTTGCTATTTTTTTGATGGGGGCGGGGAGGGGAGCAGCATGGGGACCTACCTTCCACAAGCCTTTCTAAGTCTCCTAGCTGGAATTCTTCTCTTTTCTCCTTTAACCCTTTGTTTGCACTCTTGCGTAGCTTGTGAAACTTCCTTGGACTCAGTCTTGATCCCCATTCTCTGAGCTCTGCATTCTCTTTGGATCACTTCTTGGGCATCTACATGACACCTGTATACTGATAAGTCCCCAATGATACATTTATATCTCAGAACTTTTCTCCAAGCTCCAGATTCATACATCCTACCACCTAATTGCCACCTCTATGTGTACAATGTACCGACGACAGCTGGAGTTGCCATGGGTACAATGGAACTCTTGCTATTTTTCCCCCGCAGATGCATCCCTACTACCTCCCAAGTTCTCTCCATATCAGTAAATGGCACTATCATCTACCTAGATATTCAAACCCCTGTTGCTTCTCTTCCATCAGCCCCACCCTACAAGCTTTCTCAGTTCTATCTCAAAAATGTCCCTTGAGTCTGGCCTTTTCTCTCCATTGCTATGGCCATCACATTCAGCCCAGACAACTGTCATTGCCCTATTGGAAGCCACACAGTCCCCTCTGACAGGCAGTTCCTCAAATACCCTATGGTGTTGCCCACCTTAGGACCCATTTTCTTTGTTCCCACCCTCCACCTACTGCCATTCTTCAGGTGGCTGACATCCTTGAGTATCCGTTAGTTCTCCACTTCAATGCCATTTCCCAGAGAGCTCTTCTCGCACCACTCCTCCAAAAATAGGTCTGCCTTTCTTAGTCCTATCTCATTTCCCCTGCTTGCTTCCTTCATGGCATCAGTTAGAATTTTTAAATATTTTATTTGTTTATCTTTTTGTTAGTATCGACCGACCTCAGGAATGTAAGCATTCTGAGGGCTGGTTGGTTCATCACTGCATCCCCTTGGACACGGGCACCAAGCACTCAATAAGCTTCCTGATTGAATACTCAGCCTGGGTTACAAAGCGCTCAGAAGAGGTGACATTTGAGCTGGGCCTCTTCCAACGACCTTGTCCCATGGCACTTTGTTCAGACCTCTGTTAGAACATTTCATTATAACGAGTGCTGAGTGTTTTCTTGTCTGTCTGCTCACATCCTCATATCTCTCTGAGGATCAGGACCACATTAATTCATTGGTGCCCCAACTTATTATCATTATTACAATTGTGTGTTAGTGTAATTCAATTGTCTACCTTGGGAAAGAGACGCTAAGGGCATAGAGGGCAGAAGGGGATGGTTTTAAGGGGTGAGAGGGCCAAACTTGAGAATTCATGACCTTTTGCTTATTGGGACACATCCTCTTTTTAAGGTTCTGGTCAGATGAAATTCTTGGCCCAGGAGTCAGTAACCAGGCTTTGACTGCTAAGGGTTGATAGGATTCAGATAGGTTACAAGAATAATTAGTTGGAGAGCAACTGATCTTGTGAAGCCAAAAATGTATTTGTCATAGTCAATTGTGCTCCCATGCTGCTGTCTGGGAAAGATGACAAACTCCTAGAGCTGCTGTTATTTTAAAAAGCAAGGGAGTTGAATCAGATGAGACTTTGAGCCCACTCCTCGTGCCCCATCTTTCTCAGGACTTCCTGCCTCCTCTCGGGATGTCTTCCTGTTCCTTTTCCTTGCTTCTTATGAAGGAAAGCAAGGAGAAACTAGCATGCATTTGATATTCAGACACAAAGGATTTCTCAGGTCAAAGATGATATTTAAATTATCACCAGTGAATAAAATCCAAGGCCCAACAGTTCAACTGCTTGAAACACGGATTTAGAGAAAGTGCCCAGAAGCTGACAACGATGTTGTTAAATGGATGCTTTTTTTAACTTTTGAAGAGATTCTGAATGTTTAACCATCCCCAATAGAATTCTCTTCTCTGGCTTCCTATTGTGGTTAGAAAATAAGAGCCAGGCTTTAAAAAAGAATGAAATCTTACTTACCATTTGAGGATGGACCTAGAGGGTATTATGCTAAGTGAAATAAGTCAGACAGAAAAGGACCTTTACCATTTGATTTCACTTATATGTGGAATCTAAAAAAGAAAATAAATGAACAAACAAAGCAGAAACAAGCTCAAAGATACAGAAACCAGACTGATGTTCGTCAGAGGGACAGGGATTAAGAAGTACAAATTGGTAGTTACAAAATAGTCACAAAGATGTAAAGTACAGGTAAGGGAATATTAGTTAATAATACAATAACTATGTATGGTGCCAGGTGGATGCAAGACTTAATGGGGGAATCGCTTCATAAATTATGTAAATGTTTAACCACTATGTTGTACACCTGAAACTAAAATAATACTGAATGCCAATTGCAATTGGAGAGAAAAAAGAAAAAAGAGTCATGAGTCTAGAAAGAATGTCTCGTAGCTGGTATGTGTGTTTTCTGGTAACCTAATGAAAATGTTTGGAATTTCGATACTTCCTGAAGTGGAGTTCTTTCCTGGAGTTTTCTGGCGGTGGGACAAGTTGAGGGGTATTTGTTGTGTCCTGATGGGACAAGACAATAAAAACTGTGCCCAGCACCTTCTTTCTTGACCCTCAGTGAGAACTCTGTGATTGGATGAGGGGCCAGTTCATTGATGGCAAACCTATGGTTGATTTTTCTTTGTTAAATGGCATTTAAATATATAAAATAAATATCAAAAATATAAATCTTTGTTTTACTATGGTTGCAAATATCAAAAAATTTCTATATGTGACACGGCACCAGAGTTAAGTTAGGGTTTTTCAAAATACTGACATGCCGAGCTCAAAAGGTTCGCCATCACTGGGCTAGTTTATGGAACCCCTCCCTGAGCCTTACAGGAAGGTCTTCAGCGGAAACCACCCTCACCATCCTCACTGCGGGTGCTAGAGTCCTCGACCCAGAGCCAGGGCATGCAAACTGCTATTTGTTTTTAGGTGAAAATAGAGTCCAAGGAGAGAGGCTGCGTTTTCATGTTTCATTTGACATAGAAGCCATTGTTAGGTGGGAGAACCAAGCATATACAGATCGTGGTTTGACTCTATTTGCTTTCTCTCTCCCGGGGAAGGCTCTCTATGGGTTCCCAGGAAAGTAAACTCCAGTTCCCCACAGGTAGTCCACACATCATTGTTCAGCAATCAGCAAGACCAAACCAGTTTGTCCAGAAGGGGGCACTGTGGAGCCTCACTGCGGCAGCGGCGGGCCATGGTGATTTTCCTGCTGTTTGGAAGCAAGAGCCAGAAGGTGAACTGCCTTTCCCAGGCCAGCAGCAGCTGTTGCCTTGGTTTTTAAGAAGGGAAGCCATACCACGTCGATTATTTACATTCCAAGTGACCTGGAGTTGTTAAATCAACCAGCAGAGCTCTCTAAAGCCCAAGACTACATCCGGGACAACTGGGCAGCAGTGGAGTTGACAGCGGTCGCCATTTACCAGTGTGGTCTGGGCTCCTTGTCGTCCTCCTCCTGGCTTCTCCTTGAGAGTCATCAGCGGGGTTCAAACAAGATTTGCTGGTTCCTGAGCTCGGGTATGTCCAGTCTGGTTTTGCCTGGGTTATTGACAGACTTTTGAAGGTGAAGGGGTAACCGTGGGGAAGAAGAGAGACCTTTGAAGAGGGAGAAAAAGACACTTGAGGGATTGCAAAGTACATTTTGAAAGGGTTGGAAAGGCCCCAGAATAAGCAATACGAGAAAGGAAGCATGAAAACAGATATTTCTCTTTTCAAAGCGACTAACCAACCACCCCAGAAATCTAGCTTGTGTTCCAACCCCATTGGAAGCAGGCAACACAATTAAAATAGGCGTGAAAATACCGTGTTTTTGTTATAGGTTCGCTCCCTCAGAAGGCAGCCCTAGAGGAGACAGGGATGTACCCATGTGCCCATATGTTTGTCTAAAGAGGACTTTATCGCTTCCCCTTGAAGCTGACTGCTGAGGCCAGCCAGTGCGATGAAGATGGTCCCATGATTTTAAGGAGCAGAAAGGACAATTTGTGTCTAACCTTTGAGTTTCTCATGTCCTATTATCACAGGCATTTGTTGAATAAATACATGGAAGCGGTCAAAAAGCTCACTGGATGAATTATTTAGCACAGGAATTTCTGATTCCTCCTTCAAGAGAATCTTAGATTATTTAAGTAGAAATGTAGGAAAACGGGGAAACATGGTCGGCTTCAGGGTCCTGAGCTCAGACCGGTCCTGTCCTTGGTTTAACGCTTTGCAGTTGCCATCTTGAAATTCTTAAGAAAAAGAGACCTTGTGTTCTTATTTTGCACTGGGCCCCACGAATTATGTGGCTAGTCCTTCAGGGAAGCCACAGCTCTGCAGGCCTGTATAAAGTAACTATTTTTAAAAAATACGTTTTTATTGATTTCAGAGAGAGAGGAAGGGAGAGGGAGAGGGGGATAGAAATATCAGTGATGAGAGAGAAGCATTGAGCGGCTGCCTCCTGCACACACCCTACTGGTGATCAAGCCCAAAACCCAGGCATGTGTCAACGTTCAACCACTGAGCCACACTGGCAGGGCTGAAATACTATTAATGACGACAGTGACCAGGATAAAGATGATAACCTTGAGGATATCTGATCTCTTACAGTGCACTAGAATAGTTCAATAAGGAGATATCGTACTTTGCATAAAACAGCTTCTGGGAGCCAGTGTTACACGGCGGTTAAAAGAATGTATTCATATTGAGAAAGACCTAAACAAAATGTCCTGTTCCTTCACTGACTAGCAGTATAACTTCAAGGAAGTTGATTAGTCTCTCTGAGACTTAGTTTGTTTATGTATTAAAAAGGGACAATAGCCCCACTGGGTAGGGTTTTGGAAAGGATTAAGGCAGGACTGTGTGACTCACTGAACATAGTGCTTCGAGATGGAGGACACCCTGTACTGATGACTGTCATTCTTCTTCTTGGAATAGCATGACTGTATTACTTTCAGCCAGCTGAACTTAGATTGGGTGATCCATCAGTCTCCTGGCTTTGCAAATTAGGTTGCTAACACTGGCTGCATACGAACAAGTATGTTTGCTATTTCTCATAGAGCCGCTGGTGATAAGATTAGAAAGTAAGTCCTGGAGTTCTTTGATCTAATGGGTGGTGTATTTGCACTAGCAAAGGTTTGTTAGATTTTTCTCTTATGTGCTTTTAACCCTTGAACTATTTTTACTCCCTACGTGTCTTACTCGAATGGTGTTTTTTGGGGCACTATGTCTCCAGCTCTCTGACACCACTTGGTGTCCTGCAATTCAATTCAATACTGACACAGTCAACCCGGAGTTAGCGTCAGATCCCATAAATTGAGGGCTCAGTCCCAGGAGACTGCCCCCATTTCGGGTGCCAGTCACAAGCCCAGGTTGTACTCTTGGTTGACAGGCTATAAATCCAGCGGGTTCCCACAATTCCCTCCTCTGGTGTGAAAATTTACTAGACCAATTCATAGAAGTCAGGTTTACCACTTTACTATTGTTTTCCTGTTTATTCTAAAAATATACAACTCAAGAACAGCCATATGGAAGAGATGGCATAGGGCAAGGTATGGGGAAAGGGGCATGGTGCTTTCCCAACCCTTCGATATGCTCACCAACCCTGAAGCTCTGGAAGCCATCATCCAGATCGGCTTCATTATCTGGGTAGGTGAAGCTCAAGGTGGTTGCTTTACTTAGTTTCCCAGGTGCCGTAGGAGATGTCTGTCAGGGGCTGTCTGCGAAAGGTCAACTCTTGACCTCCTTAAGGATGAAGGTGAACTACATGGGGAAGACAGTGATTCAGGAAGCTTAGGGAAGAGCCACAAAGAGGAGTATGAAGGACTTGCTAAAGGTCCATGTGGATGGGTTTGCTCTTTCCAGGCTGCTAGGAACAGATTTTGGCTGAAAATGTTTGTTTTGTAAGTACAATACCGTGCAGGCTGATATGCAAATCAACTCTCCCAGATGAAGCTTCTTCTGGAACCGGGCTATGACCCTGACCCAGCCACGGGCAGGCTCTGCAGGGCTAGGGTGGTGCCCTTCCTTCCCCTTCAGGGGTCTCTGAATGGGCTCTCTCTAAAATGCAAGATATGCTCATCTCACCTGTTTCGCGGCCCCACGGAGCCTAGTAGGAAGCTAAGCCCTCTGTGCTTAGGGTAAGACCGCCTTTATTTAGCTCTCTTAAGATTAAGTCACTCACATCACCCCTCTGAGACAGATAGGCAGTGGCGTTGCTTTTATTACCTGACACTGTGGTTTATGCTTGGGATCCTTGGCGCCGGACTACTCACCACGGGTAGCACCTCAAGTGTGGGCTGAGTTTCCTTGGCCAAACTCAGACCATGTTTTTGCTCTGTCCCCTTTAAAAGGGAGAGTCATCAGCGCACGTGAAAGTTGGAAATGAATCCGGACTAGGCTTCTGGGTCATGGTGAGGATAATCAGCTGCGTCTGCCTGTTGTCACCATGGACTCAGGATGCTCCAGGCCGTTTGGCCCAGCCCCCTCACTATCCCGAGGCCCACAGGCAGAGCAGGTTGAGACCAGGGCGTAGTTCTTGTTCTGCCCTGGGCTTCTGGACCAGAAGGCTACCCACTATATCTCCCAGAATGCTCTGTGAGTCTTAAAGGCTGGGAGAAAGGAGACCAGGAGGTTCTTCCATCTAAAGTCAAAGACTGTGGCTCAGGCATAGTCTGAGCCTTTCTTCTCCCTGTGAGCTTTAGAGCGGCGGTTGCCAACCTTTCGGACCTCATGGACCGCCAGTGGTCCGCGGACCACCGGTTGGCGACCGCTGCTTTAGAAGACATGTCGCTTATTTGACCGGCTCTTCCCTCCACTCGCTGGATGCTGGCTCCAACGGGGTCCCTGGGACTGTCCCTTGGAGGATGCCACTTCCTCCCGCGGTCTCGGTGGAGGCCTGAGGTGGCAAAGCCGGACTTCCCTTAGCTTCCCTGCCCCCGAATTCCCAGGGCCTCTCGCACACGAGGGGGTTGTGAATGTCCCATTTTTAATGGAAGATACAGGAATACCTAGAGGGAATACTGATTTAAAAGAGAGATAAGCATAAAAATTACTATTCTCAGGACTTCGGAGATGAAAAAATTTTCAACTTTTGCCAAGAGGTCTCCTGAGAGAATGACTCACTCCTGATGCTCAGGGCAGGGGCTCCTTGGTGGTCTCCCTTCCCGCAAACCTCCCCTCCCGTTTGGAAACCCCCCACTGCTGCCCACAGGGAGCTGGGTGTTGTTCTTGCATCCCCCAGGCCCTCCCTGCTCAGGGAAAGCCTGTAATTGTTCAATGTGGGGGGTTCCTGGAGTCGGAGTCGATCACTAAATGGCGCAGCCAGAGCATCGGCAGGGAGGATGCTCTCACCCCTGTGAGACCTCCCCTCCTCCTGGGCCTCTGGGACCCCCTGAGTCACTACAGGGCACAGCCTGCACTTATCACAGGGGTGAGGGGTGGGGGACACATGAGCTCCTGAGGTCAACAGTGGTCCTTGGGGTCAGTGCACCCTCCCTACCTACCTATCTACCAAGGAAAAAATGTCTTCCTCCAAGGCAGCGTGCCCTGCAGCCATATCCTCCACCCCCACCCCCCTCCACACGCACACAGAGCAAATTTAGCTTTATTGTGCATTGTCCTTTCTCCCTCTTTCTGCTGCCATAATACACCCAGTGGCTTCAGGATGAGACAGAAATGGGACCAGTATTGTGCCTCTAAGCCAGTGGTTCTCAACCTGTGGGTCGCGACCCTTTGGCGGTCGAACGACCCTTTCACAGGGGTCGCCTAAGACCATCCTGCATATCAGATATTTACATGACGATTCATAACAGTAGCAACATTACAGTTATGAAGTAGCAACAAAAATAATTTTATGGTTGGGTCACAACATGAGGAACTGTATTTAAAGGGCCAGAAGGTTGAGAACCACTGCGTAAGCCCAAGGCCTCCTGCCCCCGATCACACCCACCAACTAAATAAAAATCTGCAAGTGTGAATCTTCCTGGAATTCCATTCCTTTCGAGGCTGTTGGGACCTTGGTCCTCCAGCAGATTAAGAGGATCTGAGGGTGAGACCGTGCGGAAGAGAAGGGATGGCCCCGCTGGCCTGCTCTGGTTTTTCCTGCCGAGTCACTCGATCATTTCCACAGGCCAGAAAGTTCATGCTCCTTTGACTGAAGTTAGGGAATTTTTCTTTCTAATCAGGGGAGTTAAATTAACGAGTTTGTCTTTCATATGTTTGGATAGTGGCCTTTCCCTCCAGCAGGGATAGGCTGCCCATCTGCATGCCCACCGTCCAAGGGTAGGGTCGCCATGGAGGTGAGAGCAGCGAGGCAGTGGCTGTGGTGTCCGGTGGAGGCTTTGGGGACCCGGCTGATGTGAGTCTGATCCCTCACACCTGGCTGAGGGCGCGTCCTGGGGCAGCAGTGGATCGCAGGTCTTCACTGTGACACCCCAACAAGTCAGGGCACCACCGCTGCCTGCAGCTGGGGGACGGGGTGGGGGGATCCCATGCAGGGGGCTTTCTATAAGACAGAGGCCCTGGGATGAAGGTTCTGGTTT